AAGTTCTACACTTCACTGTTTCATTGATTAAGTATATTGTGTTGTTTGGTTTCGTATTTATATCGCCTGTCTGAATGTAATGTTCAGCTATATTTTTAACTTACACTTAAACTGTCAAACACCAAGCGGTCACCGGTGACCGCAACCTATTGTTCTATAATTGTGTCTACAAAACCGGTACTCGACGAGTTAAAGTCAAAGTCAAGTCAAAGTCAAAATCATTTATTTAAATTAGACCAGGAAGGCAATTTTGAACGTCAACAAAAAAAAAGTGAAGCTAGTTGCTCATTCCTAAGGAGAAGAACGAGCAAGAAACTCCATAAGTTACTATTTTTTAATCGGGTTTACAAATATATATAGAGTAGAATACTTGGTGTTACATTTTGTAATGCCCACTTTGGTCTATCATTTCGAGGAATAAAAATCTTACCTCTAGTTTGACAAAGAAAGAAATCCAATAACCTAAGAAACTTTTACATACAATCCTTGATTAGGAGACGGTTTCATACAAACGAGGTTTGCTACAATATACGATGTAATTTGCGTAGTCTGCAGTCGCGACGCAATCAGACGCGTGTATTGTGCGCCGGTGGTGTTTTCCAGCCTTTATTTATATTATTTACTCTATGGATATATTCTCAGATGTGTCTCCGGTCTGTGTTTGTTTATATGAGAACAGCTCTATTGTGTTGTTAATGAGTTTCGTTTAGAGATGTACATGTATTAATAGACCAGCGCCGGCTAGCTGTATATTGTAGGTACTATACATGACATAACATCACGCCTTTATCCCCAAAGGGGTAGGTAGAAGTGCACATTACGTCACTTAATGCCACCTTTCACTATTTTTTTTATAAGTCTCATGTAATAGGGGGTGAGCCTATTGCCATATACCGGACACATTTCCAGACTCCGTGCTGGACTGAGATTTTTTTAAAAACCTTGTAATACTTTGTACGACCCAGAAACTGAACTTGTGACCACTCGGGCAAATTGAATAGGTAATATAGTAAGATTTTACAGGTCTGTTTAAGATCTTACTTTTTTTATTTATTTTTTTTATTTATCTTTATCTTTATTGGCCCACCAACAATTGTATACATTCTTACTTTGACGCGACTCCTACCGATGTGTCACGGTATAAGCCAAATAAGATCCATCATTTAGAGATTTTATAGTATATAGGTAGGTAGAGCATATAGGTAAGTATTAAGTATGTAGTGATGACTTAATAATCCTAAAAGGTTTGCCGTTCTGCTAATTGAAACGTTAGAAGCACAGGGTTTAGAATAACGCCATCTGACGGGTGCATTCGAACGTAAGCGGTGGCTCGTTGATATTAATAAAGAGGGTTGCCAGTGCAGAATATTAGGTTCCATATCAGGGAGAGTTTATTAAAGTCTGTCTGTATGTCTTAGAATAGCCTTTGGAAAGGGTGCTAAGTGCTTTATTTTTTTCATTTTATATACGTGGTATAACTTTTGTTTTTTCTTAAATATTATAGAAGGTAACATAGCTTTATAATGTTATTTGAAGGATTTCTTGACTTCATTCTTGGTTGATTCAAATAATGAAGATCAAAAACAAATAATCACCACATTTTATAACAACTTGCTCATTAAAATTCATTCTAACTTATGAGAATAACTTGAAGTAAGTAACTCAAAAGGTGATGCAAATGTTTCAAGCCTCTGGGCTCGCATTGCAATGAAAAACAACGATGTTCCCGAAAAAGTTGCACTTCAAAATACACGTTTATGAACCTGAAAATAAAGTAGGTTTTCGAATACAATTGGAGTTATGGAATAAAATAAGAGAAATGAAGGTTTACACATAGCCGAATGTTTAATGAGGAGGCAGATTTTTGTTTAATTAAGTTTAAAATAAAAGCAGAAGCAAGTAATTTGAATCACAATAAAGAAGTTTCGGTCGTTTGCGGGTTTGAAGACTTTGGGGTTCAGGTTTATGAATTAGCAATTGTCTTTTGTTTCTTTATTCAAACTCACGCATTTGCTTTATGGTCAATTCTGCTCACTAATTAAGAAATAGAATTGTGTATTTAAAAATTTTATGTTAAATTTTCTTTTGTCAAATCCTACTAATGTACCCATATGTATTATTTTATAATGAACTAGCTACTTGCGCGCGGTTTCACCCGCTCTGCTCGGCTCCTATTGGTCGTAGTGAGATGTTTTATAGCCTACAGCCTTCCTCGATAAATGGACTATCCAACACAAAAAGAATTATTCAATTCGAATTAGTAGTTTCGGAGATTAGCGCGTTCAAACAAACAAACAAAAAAAAAAACAAACTCTTCTTCAGCTTTATAATATTAGTAAGTGTGTCTGTTTGTGATAATAATTAATTAAAATTACCGCTTTTTACTACATGCATATGAATGTTACATTTATTGATTGGCTAATCTTTGGAATTTCTGGACCGACTTTAATTGTATATTTTATTATTTATGTACTAAACATTAGCTAGCTGCCATCAGTGGTTGGAGGAACATAAGCTACTTTTATTTTGGAAATATGACACAAAAAAGGTTATGTTCTAAAATTTATATTCTACGCGGGCGAAGTTGAAGAAATCAGTAAGATTACTTTTTCATTGTTCAATAATATTATAAAAATAAACAGAGCTAATAAAATAGCGGTAAATTACGTATAATTGATAAATATACAATTGAGTGCCGATTTTTCCAACGCCAGATAAATTTTAACAGAGGAATAACTTTGATTATTTGACAATTATACCATACTAACCATTGTCAAATGTCAATTTTATTGTAGGTACAATTAAGAATAAACCGATGATTGAAAAATCTGCCTTTAATTTAATTAAACGTCTAAACATTTTATAAAATCATAACCAATATCAAAGTTACCACAATAAATTAATAACGCAAACCGAACTAAGGTAGATGTACGAAATGAATTGATTCAGTACATTTTGTTCCCTCAAAGCTTTCAGCAACAATGAAACACAATGCTTTGAAAGACAACTTAATAGGGTTTTTAATAGGTTTCTGCCACACAATACAGACGTACTTTTTTCACTGAATTTCATTTGTAAGGTTAAGCAATTACTGTATTGTTGGTACAATTTACTAAAAATAGATTATTTTAGTATAATGTATTTTTAATAAATCCTCGCACAGCAAAACTGTGGAATGATCTGTCGTCAGCGGTATTTCCGAACCGATACGACCTTCAAACCTTCAAGAAAAGAGCGTATTCCTTTTAAAAGGCCGACAACGCACCTGTGACTCCTCTGGTGTTGCGGGTGTCCATGGGCGGCGCTGATCGCTTATCATCAGCTGATCCGTCTGCTCGTTTGCCTCCTATTCCATAAAAATAAGTATCTAGTTTTGTATGAATATATCTTTTTTAAACATGAATTAAATAAGTATTATTATGCTGTGGATTTCTTTTATAAATGTTTATTACAATATATTTAAGTTACTGCCCTTCGGTATCGTGATACCAAATAATTAATCTGTCAATTGAGACGGTGGCTGGGCAACAGGCTGCCGCAGGACGTGGAGTGAGTTCGATTCCCGCACGCAGGAACTCTTTGTGTGATCCACAATTTTTGTTCCGGGTCGGAGTGTCATGTGTATGTGAACTGGTATTTTTGTAAACGCACCCACGACACAAGAGAAAATCTTAGTGTGTGCCAAAATTTAAAAAAAATCTTCGTTATTCAAATATCTTTCTAAGATCTTCTTACTCTTATATGAAGGTAAACTAGCTATCTTCCAAAGAGACGAAACATTTAGAAACAATCGAGGAAAGGTATATAAAGATACAGATTGTCAATTAAATAAAGATGAGATCAGATAATTTACTTTTTTTAATATAATCTTCAAATACACGGCCAGTCAAAGCTTGCTTTTGAACGAAATAAAATCTATTTGATATTTTTCCTCAATAACGTCCTATAAAAATATCTGCGAAGCGAATCGTAATCGTATTTAGATATTTCACCGTTTTTCTTCGCATTTCGTAATGGGATATTCGCATAGCCGAAATGTAATGTTATTGGTTTTTTATTGTGTTTTAGCTGATGCGACTTCTTTTCGTTTTAGTCTCATTGTTGCTTGAATGTTATTGAGCTAAAAGATTGTGACACTGTATCCATAAGCAGTAGTAATTAAATATGGGAGTTGCAGCCTCTATTAAAGTTTCTATGTTGTTTTTGTAGGTCCCTACACATTATTCTGTTGCCAAAAATTGTGGCAATACAAAATTAATACGTCAAACAAAGAGTTATAACTCATAGTACTTAAGTCGATTAAAGCAGATTGCAAGAGGCGAACTTATGTTCGGATTGGCGATAATTGTTTAGAGATGGTATAGATTTCAAAGAGTGTATAAACCATACAATTTCATCTGAAAAGAAATTCTTTGCTAAAATACTTTCCACTAGCTTTACCAATGACTTTGCCCACGTATTACTGTTTTATCATATGGGAACATTTAATCCTAACCTAAGTCAGCCCATACTCTGCCTGTATACCATAATTTCATCAAAATCCGTTCAGTACTTTCAGCGTGATTGACGGACAAACATCTAAACAAAGAAACTTTCACATTTATCACATTAAGTGTGATATTGACACATATGACAGTTATAATGGTGATTCAGAATGATTTATCCGCATTCTAAGCATCGATTAGCAGATAGTAGATGGAATAATTGTTAGAAAGTTTATTCTCGTTACGCTTTCAGTACAGATGGCGAGATGATGCATCTGAGATGCGCACGCTATCTTCACTTACTTTACTTATGCTTTCAGAGCCATGTTGTTTAGATACATAAGTGTGTGTGTTAATTTCTAATACAGTGATGATAATTAGTATCTGCTTTGTAGTTTGATCATGTAGTGTTCTGAAACAATGAAACAAAAAAGCAGTGACCGTTTTACGTAATATTTATTCAACATACTTACCCTAATAAATGCATGAAAGGCATATTTACAAAACAAACTCCTCTTAAAATTTACGAAGCCAATTAAACTAATCACAGAATTTTCTTATTTATATGTAAATCGGAGGCAAGTAAGATTTCATTGATGGGCCAGCGCGTCCTAAAGGAGGTAGATTTACAGATCTTAAAGGCGGTGGACTTAAATTCCTTTTCAATCTATCATCGTTTTCATTTCGTTCTACGTTGGCATAGTTATTGTTTCGATGAAGGACTTTATAATTTCTTATAACACCACGTAATTCTTCTTGCTGTGGCTGTGTACGCTGGTGTCGGTTGACTGTTTCATCATCAATATCTTGTTCAGGAGTATAGTAAAGCGTTTCAGATTTTTGTTTCATGTTATTAGCCACTTGTTTTGTCGCCGGTTTTAATTTACCAGATTCAAACTGATTCTTAGCTATGTAATTTAATATATCGGCTATGTCCACAGGCTTTTTCTTTAAAGCTTTGACTTCATTGAGCAGTTTAGTTTGATATACATATTTTGGCTGTTTCTCGACTCTCGTTTCAATCGGCTTAACTTGAAGATTTATTTTGTTATTATTTTCATCTCTTATCTTGTTGTTAACATCGGCTTCATTTTTATGATTTCTAAATAGATTTTTTAAGAAAAGGTTCTCTTCAATTGCGTGTTCAATGTTTATTTCTGTTGTGGTTGTAGTAGTAGTAGGCTCAGTTAAGGGTTCCGTAAATGAAAATACTGGTTTGAAATCATTCTCATTTTGAGGTATAATAAAGTCGGTGAATTTTATGTTACCGCCTTTTGTTGAATGGTCAAACATTTTAACAGTGGTCGTGGGTGGTTCATAAGTGACAGCTGCAGTTACCGATTCGGTTTTAATGCCATGCTTTACATTGTGCTTATGGTCTGAATTTGGGTAGTAATTTAAAGGTAAAACAGTCAATTTATTTTCATGAATATTCGATGAAGCAGTATTTAATATTCTGGTTCTCCTAGATTCGAAATTGTCGTCAACATAATTGTAGTTTTGTGTTACCGTTTGACTTTGAGGAATAAATTTTTGTTGCGTAATAAGTGTTGGCCTAGATGTTTGGGTGTCTTCATTTTGTAATTGGTTAACGTCGTCATCAGAATTGGGAAGATCATTTTTCCTTGTGTCAATTTGGTTTTGATGCCAGTTATTTTGATTAATCGAAGGTGCAACTCTTTCAGTTGAGTATTGTTTTTCATCGCTGTTTATAGCGTTGTCAGCCTTTAAATTCTCTTGAGAGTAATTATTAAAATCATTTTCTGAATATTTTTTGTAATCAGAATAATAACTAATGTCTTTTGAATCTAGATTTTGCGTCATTTCCGTGTTTTCTTTTATATTTGGTTCTAGTTGTTGCTTTATCATTGTTGTATACTGATCGGGAGTCATATCATTGAAGTTAATAACAATGTCATCTGTGCCGAATGATCTCGATATGGAGTTTTTCTCTATGTTATTATTTTGATTACCGTTGGCATTAATACCGTACTGCCACCTCCACAAAGCCTTGTTACTTTCTTGATCGGACTCTTTCATGTTTGCTTCGTAATTTACTAACTGAGGCATTGTTGATTTTTCAGTTGTGAACATTCTATTTATCGGTTCAGGCGCGTTTACAGACGGAACGTGAGCACCCTGTGAAGCCAGAAAAGTTATTTGTGGGGAAATTGTTCCACTGTTTTGTTTAGTTTGCATTTGATCTGCGAAGTTAATGGACGCTTGAACCGGACTCTGTGAACTAGCTGCGGCTACTAAATTATTTTGTGTGTTCGACTGTTGTGAAAAACTATGCGAGAATGATTCAGGAGTTTTTCCTGTAAATAGACTACTAAGGCGCGGCGGTGAGACAGCGAACTGATGTCGTTTTTCACTTTCGCTTAATTCGTTTTCTTGTTGTTCCCCATTCCATGATTTTAAATGCGGTGGTTTCTTCGATTCTTCGACTAAGTTGTACTGAATTGCTCTGAAAATATTAACAATTTATTATTATTTCTATCATTATACCTGTAGAAATAAGTATCGTTACAAAATTATTACAACAAGTACAGACCTCTGAATAATTTCAGGAATCGGCGGTGCAACCGGCAAGTGATCGCCACTTGCTCTAAAACCATTCGCATCCGCAATATAGTGAACCGTGTATGTCTTTCCATTATCTCCCACATACGAGTATGATCCCTCAACAACTTGCTCGTCTTTGCCAGTACCTGCATTTTCCATGCGACTATGTTGCACGTAATGGGTCTGATCTGCTCCTAAAGCCCTAGAATATTACATGATAATTAGTTCTGTACAAATAAAAATCTAGGACCAATAAAAGTTCTGAAATTGCACTTACTCGTAACTAAAGCTCCCATCTAAATCCATTTCGTTTGATAAACGTAAAATGGGTATCGCAGTTTCTGTTGTAGAAGAGATGAATACACCAGGCTGCGGCACATATTGTGGGCCTTGAAAACTAGCTGCTTTCATTTGATCCACAGAGTGATCTCGATGGAAATCCATTATGTTTATACTGCGTGTCATCGTTTGCGTTGGTGCACTTTGCGTTGAGGATTCAGGGTTGGAGTTAAATTGAAAAGGCATTTTCGTATCTATTCTATCAATGGGATGTATAAAATTCTTTGGTGGGGGTCTCATTTCTCTTCTTTCCGCCATTTGGTTAGGCATTTTTCCAGTGTGATTATATGTGTTCCTTAAGGAAACCGACCTCGCTGTTGTTGGTTTATTATCTTCATCATCGTCATCATCTTCGATTCTAATAGGTCTTATTGTTGAAGACATCATCATAGGGAATGGTGAAGGGTATCCCATTGGAGCCTTTGTAGCGGTCGGGGGAAGATAAGGGAATTGCAATTTATTTATGTTATTATTCATTTGAAAATATGGATGAGGAGTATGAGCCTCTGGGGGTAAGTAAGGATTTTTTTCAGATGTAAACATATTAGATTGGAATTGTGGTGGAAAAGTGAAATGTTCGTGAGCTATATTGTCCACAGCTAGACTTATCGTCAAAATGAATAATGGTATCTGAAAAATAATATTAAGTGTTAATCGAGAGCTAACTTACGGTTTCAAACCATCCAAATAAAATCCGATTTCACTAAAACACAAACACTTTTCACTTACCAGCTTCATTTTTCTTGAAGCTGTCAATGTTTCTGATAACAATTTTCACGTCACACTATAGCACTTGTGGAAAATAGACTGGTAATGAAAATGAATTCCGCATATATTTATATAGGTACACGCGATGTGTGTCCAGGCATTCGTGAAAGAGATCGTTTGACTAACGTTTCTCTTCTTTGATGCACGCTTTTTGCTCCGTTGTTGTTTTTATCTCGCTTCCAACGCTGCATTAGCTCTAGCCACGATTATATCCTCAGAGTAAAACGGCCATTGGACGACGTTCACGTATTAGTTAATATTGGGGTGTTGATATTAGTTGCCTTCAGCGTTTTTATAGCAGTAGCGTTCAAGACAATTACCTCAGAAATATGACTGTCGCTACTAAAGCTGAAGAATGAGAATTTATTTGTAACAACTTGTTGGACTTTTAAAAGATGACTGTGATATTATTGACGAACCTTCTAATATATAGGTCTTGGCTTTAGGAATTCGATTAATAGGTATTTAACAATGGAGTAAGTAATGCATTGTCTTTCATTCTAAGTCGATTGTAATAAAATGTATTTGTAAAAGGAAAAGGACAGAAAGAACCGAGTGATTCATGGATTTTAATTAATTAAAGGGATCAAAAACCCCTGAGGCGGATGCGAGGAGACTGCGTTCGATAAATTGCAAGATAAATTGAAGGTTTTATGCGGTCATCCCAAATTCGCGTGTCGTAAAGTGATGCAAGTTCTGTAATGGTCAAAGTCGAGTCAATGACCTAAAAACCGGTTCTGAAGAATTTTGGTTAAAACCTACCGCGGTTAAATTACCATTTCAGTAGGTTTCAAATGGGTTATTTTTTTACCTCGTTAAAATTGTGTGATTCTTGTTCCAAACTGATTTTTTTTCCAAATATGTGTATTTATTTTCTTTTTATGCAATTTCAACGCCTCCTTAATTGCTTTGCAAGACGGCTTTATGTTTATTTGTGCATATTAATAAAACCCTAATTGGACTCAACGATGACGTTATGTATTTCTTGAAAAAAAAAGACTTCGTAGTTAAAGCATACCATCACGCCTTGTATACCCAAAGGGGTAGGTAGAGGTGCACATTATGCCACTGTACAATGTAACACACATTTTTCACTATTTATGTTATGAGTCCCATGTAATAGGGGGTGAGCCTATTGCCACATATCCAGACTCCGTGCTACTATTGAATTTTTTTTAAAAACCCAGTAATTCTTTGCGACCACTCGGTTAACGAGGCAGCTTCGTAGTTATGACTATTATAATATTCAAGAACATCATTGTTACGGATTTTGCAAAATATTTTATGCAATAAGTTATTAAATGCTATTCAAATTGACATCTTTGTAAAAACCAATGCGATAAAAACAGTGAGAGACTGGCAGTTAATACAATATGAATCTTATCTTTCTCATCTTAATGCCATTTCTCTTTATTGTCCTCTGGTCAAAAACTAAGGGTTTAAGGATTCAGAATGATACAACAAATTATATACAAAACTTATTTATTGATTACCAATACATCACATATTAGGCTTTGAACATACAATACTATCACAAAACCTGTCATACCTCGATCAGTGATCGAATTCACAATTCATAATCGTGACTAAGATCACTGACTTCAATCGATCGCATCGATTTACATCGCTAAAATCGTTCAGAGGTAATATTATTCGTATACCTATAGAGCAAAATGTATCTGTACATTAAAATTCATCGATACGATTAGAAAAATACGAAATATCGATATGAAAGTAAAGTGAGTGGAATACGTTGGTCGACATTACTTTTTACTGTTCCTGCGTTAAGCGAAACTTGGTCTCATGACGGTATTATCTTAATACGATTATGAGTCCAAGAAAGTTAAACTTTTATCACAATACTTTCGACCGATGATGATCAAATATTTATGAACGATGCAGTTTAAAGTACAGAGGATACAACAGTTCTCATTTTTAATACAAAAATAATCTCTATGGTCGTTGTTTTCTTTATAAATATACCACTACCTATTTATGATTTAAACGTGGTTATGTTGTTGGGGGTAGTACGTCTGTTGGGGAGGGTAGTACGTTTGTTGGGGAGGGTAGTAGTTCTGAGGAGGATAGCTAGGTTGAGGGGCATAGGTTGGCTGTTGTACAGGCGGAAGGGTAGGTTGAGGTGGCACATAGATTGGTTTCACGGGCACTGGAGCTGGTTGGGTTGGGTAGAAGACTGCTGGCGCCTGAGTCTGGGTTGGGTAGTCGTAAAGAGGCTTGATGTTGTCAACTACGGGTGGCTTGCTGTAACAATAAGAGACACATATATTTGAAGAGGTCATTTTTAAATAAGATAATCGTCCACTATTTTAGTTTTTGAAGGTCTTACAAGGTTTTCTGGTCTTTAATTCAACTAAAGGTTTGCACAGGAAATCCCAAATCGGACATCTTGAGGTTGGACGATTATGTCATGCGAAGTGTTTTAGATGTATTAAGAGACGACGCCTTCGTTTTATGGTCAAGATAACCATAAATTGTTCGAACAAAAAACTGTTTGGTATATATATAATCTCATAGTTATTCTTTTTTAATTGCCATACATGTTCTATGCCCTATAATGAAGTGACAGTTTTGGTTCTTATTGTTTAAACAAAACTTTTGTCTTCTCATCCTAATATTTACCTGATTTCTTTTAATAGATTTGGCACTGTTTTTATTTGATCGCTTTATAATCATAACATAACATAACGCCTTTTATCCCCGTAGGGGTAGGCAGAGGTGCACACAGAAGTATAACACCCACTTTTCAATATTTATGTTATAAGTCCTATGTAATAGGGGATGAGCCTATTGTCATATACCGGGCACAATTCGAGACTCCGTGCTATTACTGAGATTTTTATTTAAAAACCCAGTAATACTTTGCCCGACCCGGGAATCGAACCCGAGACCGCTTGCCCGGTAGTCGCACTTGCGACCACTCGGCTAACGAGGCAGATGCTTTATAATCATATTATTGCGATATTCGTTGATATTGTTTCATCTATTACTTTAGTAAAAGAATTCTTCCTGAAGATTTAATATCTACGCTAAGGAACAATTTTCTTAGTATGTAAAACTGGAAGGAATTTTATTGTCATGTGATAAATATTAAATACAACATTGCTACATTATTACAGGAAGTCATTTCAACGAAACAATAAATTCCGTTAGAGTTTTCAATAAAGAGTTTATAATAACAAATATTGAAAAATCGTATTAGTTATTAGTTATTATTTATGAGTTATTATTTAATTTGTAAAGAAACAATAGATTCTACTGGATTGTGTACAATTATGCTAAATATTCATATCACCCGTGTATATTTGTAAACTTGACGTATTCATTCTTCGTTAATGAAGTAAACAGAAGTGCACGTGATACGTGTAAACTACGATTTCCTACCAGTTGTGTTTTATGTACCGTGTAACAGAGAGCAATCATATTGCTTACCATTTAAGGATCATATTGCAGATATATTTAAAGTCGAAAATTCAGTAAGTCCAATATACTTACTTTAGAAAAGCTTTTTTGGTTATAAATACTCGTTAATAAAACAAATCGATACTCTAAAACGTTTAGAACCGTATTACTTATATTTTTATACTTCAAAATTGATTTATACCACATTTAAATGTCTATTTAACATCGCTGACCCACCATCTATTATGTTCTATGCTAATACAAGTTTGATGTGACAAGCGGGCGGACAGTTTAAACCGTTTCCATGTTCAAATTACGAACTTCTTTTAGTTGTACGTCATTTGTTATTTTATAACGGTAAATTAGCCATTTTTTAAAATGGCCGCTGTCTTCTCGATTTGTAATTGAGATAATAGATGTTCCTGTTTAGTTTTATTTAACTGTAGTGTTAATTGGCTTTGTAAAAATGTATTTCTAATCTCTGTGGAATCTGTTTCTACTTAATAAGAAGTTTATTACATTGGGAACCTTGATATAATCTTCAACAGAAATGAATAACAGAATTGTTTATTTAGACATGAACTGAATGACTGTACCGCATCGTATTAAGTTTTTTTGTTATTCTTGTCACTGTTAGTACAAGATTGTTATAGAAGAAATGAAAAATCGACTTGATGGCGAGGCGTATACCTATGTAGTCACTACTGTATAAAGCTACTTAATTATTTTATAGACATCTCTTCTTTTTTAGATTTCATACAACGGTTTATGCGGATTAAGTTTTCACATTTGTTAGTAAATATCAAAAATGGAATTTGTAACGGTACGACTAATATATTATTGGTTAAAATATTCCTATGGACTAGATTCGCAAATGGTTTGGAATGAAACTGGTTACGGTAGCAAACTGTAAATAATACCAAAACATATGAAAATGAGTCACGCTCTGCTGCATATCATAAAAATCACACTTTTATTTTTTAGGTGCGGTGCAACATTTCACAATATTTTGTCTTGAATGTTTTTATGTCAGATACTAGGCATACAGCTCAAGGACGAAATAAATGGAAAAGGTTGGAGGAGGCCTTTGCCGACCGGCAAACATATCTACAGAAAATAAGTAATAGGTATTTTATAGATACTAGACCTAAGTAATGCAAATCTTAGGCAAGTTTAAATTCTGTAGCAGTTATTAGTTGGATCTGAATAAAGGGCTATTTTATTTTAATTAATTTTACTAGCCAGGCTTATAACAGATTCTGAAATTATTCCAGACTCCATGCTATTAGTGTTACGTACGTACGGAAATCAGACCCGAAACTCATTGCACAGCAGTCACGATTATCATGTAATACAATAACAATCATATCAACGTCACAAAACACTTTCTTTGCGTTCGTTTCGAAAACTTACTTTATTTTGTTTGTTATTTTTATTTGTAGCCATTTGTTACGGCTATGACAAACAACTTGTGGCTATAACTCACACACACGCCCTCCTGTTCAGGAAAAGGGACCACGTCTTACATTGTAATACTAGTATACCGATTTGGAGAAAAATAATTGCGTTTCGGTAACGCGTTTTGATTAGGACTTTGTTATTATTCGTTTTTGATTAATATTATT